TGACATTACACTCTGTAGAGTTCTTAATGCAATTTAGTCTCTACTGAATTAGGGGTATTTTCGTAGCTGAGAATCAAGGCGACTCAGACAATTTAGAGCTGATTCAACAGCAGAAGGTCAATCTTAGTTTTTCCTTTACCCTTTGGATTCTAAGGATTTATTTTCTGCCTAAGAAGGACATAATTTATAATCTCTCTTGTGCAATTTTCCTTATCCTACAATTTTCTTGTCCTTTTATTTTTTTTCTCTCTTTGTTTCCAATATCTAAATTGCTTTTCAACAGTTTTAAGAACTGGCCAGTAAGCCTGCTAGCATAGGATGCTCAAACTAGTTATGTGAATTTGTGGTAATACTAGAAAGCCAACAGTGAGTATTTCACATCACCTATCAAAATAGCTAGCCTTCAAAATATCAACTTTTCAAATTATCTCTATTTGAATTTATAACTCTGAAAATATATTTTTTCTTTCAATCTAGATTTTTCTTTTTTCTTTTTTTTTTTTTTAATAGACCTTAAAGATATTGCACGGAAATGAAAGACTAGATATGTGTACTGGAATCTGCTCTTATATTAATAAAGTATGGTTTCTGGTGTTCATTTATTTGTTTATTTATTTCCCTTCTTAGGCTTGTAATTCCCTTTAGGTGTGGAGTAAGAATTGTCTTTTTTGTCAGTGAGACATGAACAAGGCAGTAAAATTCTGAAATTCTATGCAGATTTATTTCTAATAATACCATTACATATTTTTGATTTTTTCCTATGATTTAGCCCTTAAAGCTTTGCATAACAATTTGAATGCAAAATGTAGATCCTAAAAGGAATTACAGAAAGAATAAATATTATTATAATAGCAGATCTTCCGTAAGAGTAATAAAAATATTCACAGTAATTTCAAAATATATTCTGTTTTATTAGGCTGTTTTATTAGTTATGTTGCAAAAAAAAAAAAAAATCAATTTCAAAACAATGTGGTGCTTTAAATACTACAGATAATTATAAAATACCAGGACAGGATCAAATAGATACAATTTATATACAAATAAATACAAATCTTGGATGGAATTGAAGTTATATAGAGAGTCAATAAAAGATAAATAAGTAGATAAACTATAACTGAAAACTCTACTCCATAGCTTTCAGTGGCTTTTACTGTCTTTGGTTTAGAGTTGCTCCTTCAATTAAAAGTTGCTGTTTGGCTCATTTTGACTTTGGGAAAATATACTTTTGACTGTCCTGCATATTTCTTAGGGCATCTGGCACAAAGAAGTTGCTTAGGGAAATGCATGAGTTGAACTAGGATGTGAATTGCTTAGGCAGTCTTTGTCATTACATTTGTCCAGGATGTTATAGAGATCATCTTACAAGACAGCTCAGTGACTGACTGTGCTCTTAGCCTCATTCCACAAACAGAAAAAAATATTACTGTTTATTTTAAAATCTTGCTGAATTTGATGTATCAATTGTCTGCCAAGAAGCATGGAGGGAAACTATGTGAGAGTTTCCCATTCTAGTAGATTCTTCTTTTCTTTTGTGAACATAGCCAAGTTTACCAACCCAGATTCTAATCTTTGTGAAACTTATTGCCATATATTGATAAGCCTACATTTACTGTGTTGGTCCTCTAAGGGACTTTTGGATTGAAGTTACCTTTCATAGAAGCAATTCTTTCACAATTCTTTGCAGTTGCTAATTTCTATTATTCATTTTAGAAATGCTTTACAATGAAAAATATATGTGATATAATACAGATCTGTTCTGTCACCGCTAGAAAGGAATAGCCTGCTGTTAGAAACAGGGGAGGCTCTGGTTATCTGTGTAGTATTTAACTTTCAGGAACTGCAGCACATTTTATTTGACAATGCCCTGAGAAATTAAACTTCCAGCCATATCTAAGAGGATGATAAACATTTAAAGAGAAGAGGATTTCAACATTAATCATTCACTGAGAGCAATGCAACTGAGAGAGACCAAGCTGATGCTGATGAATAGCACTAACAGTGCTAATGAAAGTTTTCAATGTCCTCTACTGACAAGGCGGGCATTAGAAAGTTTCTGCTGCTTTGAAATGGATAAAGCATAGTAATTCAATAAATGTTCTTTACTTGTAGTCTTTCCAATACATTTCTGAGCTTAGCTCTCATAAGTAACAGTAACACCCTATAAGTGTTTGCACCTTAGCAGGCTGTTAAAGATTTGTATAGCAGAGACCCAGATGTCTGAAATGTTCTGTGTGCAAGAGCTGTGGGGGTCACCCCAGGCAGTGCAGGAAGAGTCGCCTCCCCTCTCTGCTCATCCTCCCCTGCTGGCACTGACTGATTGGGGTAACCTACACAAGAAGCAGGTACCATTTCCCCTGCTTTTCATAGTGCCTCTTTTATTTATAAGAAATAGATCAAAGCACAAAAAGGCAAGAAGCGAAAGTATCAAGGACAGTAGGATCCAAGTCAGCTATACTCTGATGAAAACTAATTAAGGAATAGTTTTTTCTGGAATTGGCTCAAAGCCCAAAGAGGTTCCCAGGCTTTTTGCTCTTCTCTATAATGCAATGATTTTTTCAGCCCTGACAATGAGAAATGCAGGGAGAAGAAAATCCCTGGTAGCCAGTGAGTGCTCTGTGGTTTACCTTTCCTGCTGGCTGTCCTAGAAGGGAGGGCACAGTGACTTGTGTACCTATAGGACATGAACATGTAGTTGAACTTTCCTTTCTCTGGGGGATATTTTAATATGCTTAGTGATATTTTTAGACCGTGGAAGTCTTTTGTGTAGCATAACTACCCCAATACTTAAAACAGGTCTTTAAAACATCCACACTGGTGGTATTTTTCTTGAAAACTGAAATGAAAATATTGTGTAGAAGTATCTATTAATTGCATAAAACTAGTGAGATTTGGTTACAGGTGCAGAATTAAATTGCTGTGTATCAACAGCAATGAAAAGATCTCCATCCAAGATTTTTTCTATCTTTGGGGAAGATTATATGATAAAATCTGTTCTGCATCCCCATTTACATTATCCTTGTTTCTGGAGTTGCTAGTTGCAATGTTATTGTAAATTGAGATATAAATTGGAGAGTGCATGATTAAAACGTGTCTGGATGATATGCATTGTTTAAAGTTGTATAAAATACAACATACCTGGCTTTCGCTAAGTTTACTGTTGGCTTTGGCTGTGTAATTAATGCCAAGGTCAGCTGGGAAAAATCTGATAATTTTCTCATTTCTATGGGTTTGCTTTTTTTTTTTGTTTTTGCTAGCTGAAAGTTTAATTGCTCTAATGGAATGAAATACTGAACATTAGGATGCCTAGTAAGGTAAATAATTTGCTTAAATCCAATTTGGACGCTGTCTAGTCATTGTAGAAGCAGCATTCAGCATGTTAGGTATTGGCATTGCTATATGAAGAAACTTTAATGCCATAAAAATGATGGCATTACTACTTCCTCTGGTAGTTGTATCTTTTTAGCAACTGTTCACTCAATTTCCCAAAGTTTATTTTTTGTGCCAGCTTAGGGAAAATAGGATTCTGCAGCCCTTATGTTCTGTTCTCAGGTCTCCTACTGATTTTAATTTCTCTAAATCAGCAGAATTTCTAAAGGAAAGGGGAGAAAGATAAAATATTAATATTTTAATGCCTTTATATTTCAGAGCTAGTTGTATTACAACATCTACAGCTTTACCACATAGCAGTCATTTCAAAGGAAATGAGCCTTATATGCCTCTAAAAATGATAGTTTCTGGCAATATGAAGAGTGTAAAAACTGCATGATGTTTTAAGGGCATAAAAGTAGTCATTAGGCAGTCATAACAGAAATGATATATGAATTTCAGTTCTGGTAGATATTGTTTAATCTTTTCCCAAAATAAATCCTGAAGTCAATTTGTGTTCCTTGGTTCTGTCACTGTGATTCAGCCTTCTTCCCCCTCTATCACCTGCCAGGCCTGTGCAGAGCCAGGCAGCGTGTGCAGACTCACTCTCCTCACACTGTCCTGTTGTCATGTTGGTCATCAGCTGCCTGCCTGAGTTGTTGAGCTGCTGCCTTTTAGTCCTTTTGCTCTGGCAGGAACCTCCAGAATCCCCCACCTATTGCATTTTTCCATAAGAAACCTGTAATTTCAGCTTCTGATGTTCTTGCCATCTTTGCAAATGCACCCTTGCACAAATCCCTTGCTCCCCACCTTTCCATTTCTAATAATTTTTCCCCCATGATCACGAGCCACTTCTTTCTTTTAGTACAGTCAATTGTCTGTAGTTAAGCTGGCCAGCTGGATGAATAAGGCACTGAATGAGGAAGGATTTTCAGTAGCAGTGATAAAAGTAAAGAGTAGTGTATTAACCAAGCAAGCATATATTTTGTTACATAATACTTTGACAGTGTTCCCTATTATAACAGTGGTAGACATATTCTAATCTAATAATTTTCTTATCCTTTAGCCTAAAAATTTTTTAAACAGAATATTTTTAAATTAAGAGATCAATCTTATGTAATATAGGAGGGCTTGAAAGCTTTGGTTATTAATAAATCATGGTGCCAAGTTACCACAAAGAATCTTCAAAAGCTGATTTAACTTATTATTTTATTATTATTATATCTCTTTAGTTTTCCAACTGTTACTTTCAGTTCAGGCTTCACTTCTGAAAGCTGCAAAGGCTGTTGCCTTCTCTCATAAGGGACTTTTTGGTGCTTCAGTTACTTCCCTGCTGCCTTCATGAGTCTTTTGCTAATGCTTGACAGCTTGACAGTGCAGTTTTTGCCTGGAAGGTAATTATGATGAAAAATTATGATTAAGTCAAAGGCATACTCTCTTAGATTATATTTTTGAGAACCAATCCTGTGACAGGTTTTATATAGCACCTTATTGGAACACATACATACACATAAATATATAGATATATACACACAGAGTACTGTCTCTTTAGAAAGTGGAAAATTAAGATATATCTTTCTTGCTACTGCTTTAGGTAAGTGGATGGGCAGTTTCAATTTGTATCAATTAAGCAATTTAGAGAAAATATGATTTTATTCTTAGATATTAATTACAATAATCAAGTGAATTACAATAATTTCAGTGAACCAGCATTAGAACAGATTGTAACCATTAAGATTAAAACCAGCAAATGTCTGACTTGGAGTAAATCAAATATAACTCACAGAACCAGAGAAAATTTTAGGTTCAGAGCAGGGCTGACCTCACTTTTTGGTAAGGTTCCTCAGAGCCTTATAAATTTTGAATACATCTCCAAGGGCAGAAATACCTTGATAGGAGGAAGTATCTGAATAATGATTGATGGAAACTAATGCTTCCTGCAGCAATTGTTTGGTAGGAATCCAGTCATTTGGAGAAACACACAACTTTCAGTGCGAGCATGCCTAGTGCCTTAAATATGTTTGTCTTTTCAGTCCTGCTCTGAGCTTAGCTTTGTAGCCAAAAAGGATAGTGTAGAGGAGATATCTGCAGAAGGTGGGAGTTTCTTGAAGTGCAGAGGTGTCTGTGCTGCAGGGGGCATAAAAAGTGTGGCTTTAGGAAATGAACCAGTGCAGGAAATTCCTGAATTCCTGTGAGGTGTATCCTCAGTGGCCTGGTGATGGTGTCATTCATGGCAGAATCCCAGGGTTTACAAATGCTTTGTGTCTTTGTAGCTGACTTTTGCCACTTGGGTTTTCTGCTTTCTTCAGTGTTCTGTCTTTGCTGCATCCTCATAAACAAACTACGAAAGAAAGGACATTTTTCAGAGGCACATGTGCGAAAATATGAATGTCTTGTAAAGGGATTGGTGTCAAATGAAATGTATGATTGTACTTTTTATATCTCCATGGATCATGAATGCGGAGGGATATGCAAGGGTGCCAAAGAGCAGCTCTAATGAGTATGATGAACTGGACTTAAGTATTTTTAATATTTAATTTTTTCAAAGTAATCTAAGAAAACAATCAGCTCTATTCCTAGTTTTCTTCAACAATTACTTGGTAGCAAGGGATATTGTTTGTAATTCTGTTTGAGAAATTCTGTGGGATTGGGGTTTTTTTTTCCTTTTCTCCATTGAATTGCTGCCTGTGTATCCTGAACTTGCTCTTTCTATGCTTTTCATTGTAATTTTATGAAGTAACGCATAATGTCCAACTCAGGAATGGGATTTCAGGTGTAATGCAAATGAGAAATGTCTGGTATAATTTGTAAGAACATAAGTAGTTCTAAGGCACAACTGTGTGTGAGCTTCCCCAGCAGAAACTGTTACAGAGGAAGTGTGGGACTCCTGCCAGCATGAGCTGCATACATTAAACTACAACCAGAGCTGGAAGCATTCCGTGACTTTGGTGCACAATTTATTATATTAGTTCATTTGTCTGTCTCTTCTGAAAGAAAGCCAATAAGTGGGTTAATTTAATCTTACATCCAGGTTTGTGTTTGAAAGTGAAGTCTTGTATCCTTCCCTGGCCAAGATACAGCTGCTAGGGGCCAAGCTGGGGTAAGGAAAGAGGGAACTCTGCAAGTTTTACGCTGTTACTGCCACTGGGGAATCATCAGACATGAAAGGAAGACCTCCCAGTTTCATGCAGAGTCCCTTGCTAAAGCTACAGTCTAATTTCTTTACACACTTTGAGATGATTTTATGGTTCATCTCTTTAGTATCACAAAATATTTTATTGTCCGGTCATGGAATTAGCAAAAGATAATGATAGCAAGTATGCAGAGCTAAAAATTGGTTGTAATTCTGTTAAAGTCTGGAACTTAAAAATGAGAGGGTAGATTCATGCAGGTAGAGGCCATCAACCCTGGCCACTAAAACAGCCAGCCTGTGAGTAGACAAGGACTGATTCATCACACAAGTTTTCCTGCAAATGAACAAGGTCTCCTTCAGTTAAAACAGAAGTTTATCTCCATCTTTCTGGTAACTTTAGCTGTTGTTCATAGATCCTTGAGCAATGTCTCTATAGGATCTGTAAAAACACTGGGGACTTCTAGGGTCCATTTTATTTAGGCTTTTAAACTGGAGGTAAGAGCATAAGGTACCCCAAAAAAGGTCTTGATGAGCTTGCCATTTCCTTCCTTCACACTTCTGGATTTTCTGCTTGATGAGAGTTTTATACTGACAACATATACTTGAGGAGTGGGCAAACATTTAATTTCAGTGTATTCCCTTAATGGCAGTACAGAATCTTTAACCAATAAATGATCTTAATTAGTCTGACTATTTATAATAAAAACATACAAAGAAGAAGGCAAACTACAGTGCAGAAAACTGCCATATTCAAATGAGTAAAATTAATTCAGTAATATGGGAAGAGTTTTTGAACTGGTCTGTAAAACCTTCGGGCATTGTTCAAATGTCTGAACTAATTTTAGATTATGTACAAAATCAGCTGTGTCCTACATGGGTAGGTCTGTGTGATCTTTCTTTTTCGCCCACTTGAATACTGCACCATGAATAGGCCAGTGTTATGTCAAATACTGTGCAGTAATCTGCTGCACCAATCTTTCAAGGTATCATTAATTACCTTGGGAAGTGCCTTTCTTTCATTACAAGAAATTATAAGAATTCTGGGTGAATGAGATCACAGAGCTTATTTACATATTCTGAAGTTAGTCATATGATTTTTATTGAGCCAATTATGCCAAAGATTGCCAAGTTTACAGTCAGTTTGTATAGCTTTGCAGTTACCAAAAATGTGTCTGTTAATGAAAATAAATTTGTAGCTGTGGTAGTAATTTTCTGAGTGGTAGGCTTTTTCCTAAATTTATCTTAAGAAAGATTAAATAATTATAATTTGAGCTTTCAAGTATCAATGATTTATTTCATTTCACACTGACAAAACTGTATCTGTGTTTTTTTATTATAAATAGTGGTAGATATGCTAACACAGGCTTTAATTCTGACAATGTACAGGCCTTAGGTACATGGTATCCCTCTGGTATCCCAAGTTTCTGTTATAACCTATGAAGAACTATACTTCTTAATTTGCATACAGAAAGCCAGTTTTTAAAGATTAATTATATTACTGTTGTAAATACTGACTAGGCAACTAATGTGCCGTGACTGCTGCTCATTATATCAAACTCAATCATTTCATTGCTGCCTTGTCCTCCTCCTCATTTGTTTCATCTCCATCTGCTCACTCTCTCATATTACTTGCGCTGCATCATATGAAGTACCCAAGCTTACTGGGGTAAAATGATGTATTCTATTAAAAATATGGTCCAGGTCTACATAATACTGCAATAAAAATACAATAGTAATGCTTATGCTGCTACTAATTTGACAATTTTTCTCCCTGTTTGGATCTTGGAAAGGATAATTCCTATTTTGGAGCTAGTTTATCTATATGTCAGTGAAAGTTAAGAGTAGAGCTGATGACATCTCACTACAGCTCTTTAAAAGAAGGGTGCTAGTCTAAGCTAGTCATCAAAACTTCTGTCATTACTCTTACAAGTGGTATCATAAGAGTCTGGTATTTCTTAGAATGTAATGAATGACATTTTCAGAAGATGCTTAATCCTGCCCTAATGTAGTAGACATGTAATGGAGTGTCTCTGTAAACTGCATACTAAGACATAGGACAAGCTTAAATTTGGTGCCTAACTTGTTTTAATCATACTGCAAGTGTTCTGGGCAAGACCCCATTTCTGATTCTGGGCTGATGCTGCTCCAGCTGCTAGGAAATTATTTTTATCTTGCATTATCATGGTCCTACAAGCACAAATTTTAGCAGTAAATGTCCAGAGTTTTAGGATTTACATCACAGTATATCATTAAACAATTTATCAATTAAAATGTCATTTTAGTTGTCTCTTAAAAATATCTGTAGAGATTATAGTTCATTCTGTCTTTTCCACACTGCTGTGCCATCAACACAGATGCAATATTCCTCTCAGAAAAGGCTGGGTTAGTGTATTAGTGTAGCAGTGTGGAGATCTAACAGTGAGACAGTCATGGGACTAAAAGCGTCTGACACTCTGATAAAGCATGAAAGAGGTAAACAGGAAAGACAAAAATAGTGGGATGATTTGCTATTAATTCTTATTTTCCTTCCTATTAAGAAGGCTTTTTTGGGGTTGGCTCTGTTTCTTTACTGCCATTTGTCAGAGCACTGTTTTATAACTAGAAAATACAATAAGCAGTGGTGATGTAAGCACATGAAAGGTTAGTGAATTTGGTTTGGAACTGGAAATACCTCTTTGTAATAAAGGTCATGATTTCAAAATATTGCAAACTAGTGTGTCTAAGGTTTCTCTTTGCTTGCCCTGCTCTACATTATGTCTCCTGAGCTGAAAATTCACTTAAAATAAGGTAGAAAATGAAAAGAGCAAGATAAACCTATGAGAAACATCAGGAGAACTCTTGCTCTGAGATCAGTGGCACTATTCCCAAGGAAGTTAATTTCAAAACAAGATCTGAGTTTCAGCTGACAATTTAATGTATGAATAGCCTTCTGAAACAAAAATTGTGGGTTCTGGGCTTTTCTCTGCCATTCTTCTGTCGTACACATCACTGTGGTTGCAGGATATATTTAGCTGCTTGCATTAGTCAGTGGGGATTGTGCTCTTATGCTTCTATATGTTTGATTTAATATATGTTTATATATGTTTGCATATTCAACTGTGCAGGCAATAAACATCATGTTCATTATAATAAAAAGCTATCTCTGCTTTCACTTGATCAGCTAACTGTGGTACATTGGTACATCTATAAACAGAAGTTGGTTTGTGATAGCAAAATGCAGGACTATTTTATCAGCTGGTTTCTGGAAAAAGATTGATTTTCCTCAATGCAAATTTTGAAAGATAATATGCCACCAGCATTTCTATGGGTCATGCACTCAAACAGAACTGAAGACTGAGTCTTGTGCTCATTGCAGTTTGGCTGTTGACTTTTGTCTTTGAATCAGGCCATTCATCCTAACAATGAGGGTGTCTGTATGCAGTTTATGGGATTATGATTTTATGTGTATGGTAATTTGTATTAGACCGTGCTGAAGAAATGGGGAAAATAGAATTTGTACTAGGCAGAATTCACCACAAGATGTCTCATGTCTCACTACAGATTTTTCACAAAGGTAGGGAGCTATCCAGCTAAGTCTGGTGAGTGCAGTGCAAATTACATGATTCAGATTCTTCTGGAGAGTGTGTTAAAAGCACATAAAAATAGACTGGATGTGGAATCCAGACATGATGAGTGTGTTCTTCAAGGGCTGATTAAAAATAAATGCATGGAGACTAGCATCACTGAATGTTGAAAAAATTCTCAAGAAAGGGAGGAAAATGAACAGCTAAAGCCAAAGTATGGCATTAGAAGTATGATTCTAAAACAGGGTGATCTAATTTTATTTGTTATTTCTTACCTCCTTTACTATGCAAGATAAGTGGACTCTATGGTTGAAGTGTCCATTAAGAGTGTTTTCCATCCTTGTGACATTGGGGTGGGTTGTGTACCTCTAAGTAACTATTTTATCTGCTGGCTCTGGGGATCCAGATTAGAGCCCACACATGCGTGAATCTGTACAAGCCTTGGGCACAGTTGTCTATTCTTATGTGTATTGCTGTATATGTATTTTTAAATAGAACTCTTTTGTACTCCTATGTGTATGACTTCTCTCAGCACTGGTGCAGATTCTCCTCTTACTCTAGGATGTTACTTGCGTGAGGATAGATTTAAGGCCAGCTACCAATTTTCTTTATAGCTGTTAAATAAAAGCTTTAAGTGTTAATTGTTTTCCTAGCTATCCATATACAAAAGACTATGTATTTCAATTCCAGGTTTTGGAAGGACTAGGGGTTCAGGGTAGGTAGTTATGGGACTGTAAGGATCTTCTACTGCGGCCAGAAATGAGCCAGAGCACAAGTTGATTGTATAAGTCAAATGTATTTCACATATCTGATCACTCAAACAATAAGATATGCTCAGGATAAATACTATGTATTGACAAGTTTTTAAAATATAAATAAATACACTAAACGTATTGGGTTGAGCTATGTTAAGGAATCTGATTTTAAACTTTATGGTGGACTCTTAACACGTAACTACAATGTATCTCCAAACCTGCTGCCATAAAAGTGTCTGACAAACTGTAGAGCAAAGATGAAGAATGATTTTCTTGTAAAATCACAGAATCACACAAGAATACACGAAGGTGTATGAGGAAAGACTGGATGTGGAATTTAGTGCCGTGGTTTAGCTGCCGTGGGGGTGTTAGACCCTAGGTTGGATTCAGTGATTTCAGGAGTCCTTTCCAGCCTAACTGATGCTGTGCTTCTGCGATTACATGTTGAGATCTTTTCCACCCGGCCAATTGCGGCGCTCAGCGTGCCTGCTCGGGCCCGTCCGAGCCGCTGGCAGCGTCGGGGCCGCTTTCCGCCGGCTCCGTGAGGGGACGGGACAGGGGCACCTGCGGAGCTCCCCGGCCCCGTGCACCGCCGCACAGGTGTGTGCGCCGGAGAGAGGGACCCGCGGTGGCTCCCGCCCCGCAGGAGGCGGGGGAGAGAGCGTGGAGGGTTCCTTTACAAATCACGGCCGCGGGAGCCGTCCGGGGGTCGAGCAATTCCCTTCCCCGCCGGGTCCGGCGCGGCCGCGGCTCCCGGGGCGGGGCGAGGCGGGGCCGCCGCTGCCGCCGCCACGCTCCGCCCGCCCGCCGCTCGAGCCGGTGCCCGCTCTGGAGCCGCTGCCGGAGCGGCGGGCCGGGCCCGCGCTGCCCTGCCCCGCTGTTCTGCCCTGCCCCGGCCGCGCTCCCCGCCGGGCTGACCGCGCTCCCGGGCACCGCTGAGCCGCCCCCGCCCGCGGTGGATGCCGCCGGGGAGCGGGCGGAGCGCGCCGCCGGGGAGAGGGGCTGCCGCGGCCGCCGGAGCCCACGTACATGCGAGTGCCCTCTCCGCTCACCAGCATGCTTTACTTCCAGATGGTGATCATGGCAGGGACCGTGATGCTGGCTTATTACTTCGAGTACACGGACACCTTCACCGTCAACGTGCAAGGCTTCTTCTGCTACGAGGGCGCGTACCGAAAGCCCTACCCGGGCCCGGAGGACCGCAGCGCCGTGCCGCCGGTGCTCCTCTACTCGCTGACCGCAGGCGTGCCCGTGCTGGTGGTAAGCAGGAGCCGCCGTGCCCGCACTCCGGTGACTCGCTGGGCCGGGCCGGGGCAGTGCCGCGGGTCCCGGCCGGAGCAGTGCCGCCGGTCCCGGCGGGCGGGGACCCTCCGCGCTCCCGGGACCGCGGCCCGGCCCCGGGCCCCGGCGGGCAGCGCTGCCGGCCCCAGCCCCTGCCCCACCGTGCCCACCGCGCCGCTCAAGTTTATTTTTAGCTCCGGTTTATGTAACTGCCGGTGCCTGTATTTCCAGCCCCGTGCGACTCCTTTTGGTAAAAAATTGCCCTTTTCGAAACGCGCGTCGCTTGCACATAGATGGGCAACCTGAGGAAAGCCCGGTTTTAGCACCCACTTACTGATGTGTCATCCGGTACTAATTAGAAAATCCCTCTATCAGTTTTGTTTCCTAAAAGTCAACTGGTACATGCAAGGAGCAGGGAGCAGTTTTACTTGATTTAGTTGTCTCCATATGTCACAGTTACTGATGTGTGTGCAAACGAAACCTGTGTCTCTAATTGAACATGATCTTCCGTCAATCAGTTTTAAACAGGTGTGTCTAAAAAGTGATTTATTTAATCGATTTTCTATGGGGATCTCTTTTTTTAGAAAACAGCTAAGAGAAAGCTTTTTAGAAAAGGAGTGAGTTTCTTTTCAAGCTGTTGAAGATACTCTTTGTGTTGTCAGATAACGAGGGCATTAGCATCATTCAGTGATCCCTCACCACACTGAGGAGGAAAGACCTAGAGGGGAACGTTTGACTATTGGGGATGGATTATATATAGATTTACCAGGTGCATGCACAGTTACACATACAGAAAGCCCTTGTAAAGAGTTGATTTTAATCAACTGTAAGCTTTAGAATAATAAAAGAATGCAATAAGAAGAGGCCTTTTAAGATAGCACTTTTTTTATCACAATAATTCTTTTTCAGGAAAATGTAACAAAATAGAAGTAGAAAAAGCCTCATCAGGGTACGGCTATGGTAATCCCAGGCACAGTTTCTGCTTTTGTAGCATCATGAGATCTCAGATGGTATCAAATATAAAACCTTATGGTCAGGATCAGCCTTAGTATTGAGACTTGGTTCTCTTTTTAATTTTTTTTTTCTCCTAAGGAATTCAACCTCTTCATTTAGCAAAACCAGTTATGTAGCATTTTGGCTTTGTTTGGTTCCTTTGATTTGAACATCAGTTACTTGATCACTTTATTGACCACACTTGACCACTGTTTGTTCTTTTGAAACCCTAATACTGTTGAGAGTCTAAAAAGGAATTTTTTATTTTTTTATTTTTTTGCTGATCTTTCTCTGATGTTGGCATGTGATGTTTGTTTTGCTTTTAATACTTTTTTTTTTTTTTTTTTTTGTCTCAGGAAGTTATAAAGATTATGTTAAATATTCATGTTGAGCATCTCTTTTTCCTAATATGTGTCAGCAAGATGGATTGGTAGTTTCCATTCATTTCCTGGATGCTAGATGGTTACGTCAGAGCAATCTCCATGACATTTTGGGTTGGCAGTCTTGTAATTAGTCTTGCTAAAAAGCTAATAATAGAATTTAATGATACTTAACTGTGTTTCATCTCCCAGTCACTAGTCTTTTGGGCAGATGACATGCTTTGGAATGCCAGGGCATGGAAAACCACATTGTAGATGCCTGTGTTTCACTTTTTTAAAAAGGTATTTTTATTTCATTTTATTAAACAAAATATTCAGCTCCTGGGAGTCTCATTAATTCAACAGCATTAAGTCTAATAATTTAACTTTATTAAATAGGTGGATTTTTCAGATTTTGCACAGGGTTTTGTTCTGATTTGCCTTGAGCAATCCTCTTGTACTTTGTATTTACTTGGGATGGCACTTACTCAGCTGTGCAGAACATGTACATTACCTTTGCTTGTTCTTTTCATTGAATGGAGTGGTGAAAGTAAGATTTCTTCACCAAAAGAACTTGTATGTTTTCAGCTGTAGTAGATTTCAGAGATTAGGTTCTCTTCTATTTCATTTATTTCTTGTCTATGATATTTTGGACATACATGTTCTGTGTAATTTTGTTTCTGTAGATGAACTATAAGAATGAATCATGTAACATAGCCCTATTTTGGTCTGTAAAGTCTACATGCAAATGTAGACTAGTGAGGGAAATAGATTTCTGTGAATGCAATTTCACATTTCCCCCCCACAATGAGTATTGTCCTTGAACATAGGATTTTAAATACTATAATTTATGAGGATTTTTTTAAAAATCCTTTTTTTCCCCTGCTTGTTTGGTGAATGGGATTAATGCTTTTTCTGGAGTTTTGACATAGAGCACAGAATATTTACTTTGGTGTTCACATCAACTGAGGTTTTTTTGAGTGATTTGACTTGGAACCATAAGCTTCAAGATAAGCTAGGTTATCTTAATGTGACTCAGTTAATGACTCCATTGCATTGAGCTTGAAAGAAGTCACTCAAAAATCATAAAAAAGGTTTTTCTAATGATTTTCCTTTCTACATGCCTCCTAGTAGAAAAGTAATAAAAGTAAAGTACTGGTAGCAGGACCTGTCTTGATGAGCACCTCATCAGCAGCAGGTCTCTGGCTGCTGTGAGGCTGTCCCGTGGCTGCTCATCCAAAACCCCTGTGCCACATCAGGCCATAGGGTTGGGCTGAGTGTCTGCTCACAGGGCAGCCACAGGCATGTGCTGAGACCTAAATAACAGCCTGTGTCATCTGACAGGGATGTACTGTGAGTGCTGTGTTCATCCCTGACATTTTCTGGTTAGTCTTTAAAATGCTGCTTCCTGCTCATACATTCCTGCAGCCCTGGTGCAGCATTGCTGCCAGGCTTTCATTCCTGAGTCAATCTGCTTCCTCAGCCCATCTGCCCCGTGCCATCCAGGGACAGATGCAGCTGGCTGGCAAGGCACAGGTGCTCACAAGTGATCTGAGAAGTGCAGAAGCAGACACTGTTTAATCTACTGCAATGCTTGACCTTTTAATGGGGTTTTGGCTTGTTTGGGATTTTGTGTGTGTATGTTTCTTTTTTGTTTGTTTGTTTTTGTTTGTTTTAGTTTTTGTTGTTATTGAGGATTTTCTTTTTGTTGTTGTTGTTTGTTATAATGGTATTTTTAAAAAATTTTAATCTTTGAATCAAGTGCTCTGATATGGGAAAGGGAAACAGACTGAAAGAAAGAAGTTTTGTACTCTGTACTTGAGATTTACTGGGTTTGTATGTCTACAGTCTTTGGTCAAGTAATTACTGTGTATTTACCAAATATTTGGTCAGCTGTGATTTGGTGGGCAGCTGGACTAGATGATTATTGTAGGTCTCTCCCAGCTGAACTATTGCATTCTAAATATCTCATAGGTTGTGTAGGATCTAGTAAGGAGTCAAATTGTGCTATTCCCTTTGGCTGTAAAAAATTTATTGTCTGCTAAGATGTCTCTGCTTAAAGCCCCTGCAGAGTTGCCTGGAGAAGCTGTGGCAGCCTGGTCCCTGGCAGCTTCAAGGCCAGGCTGGATGGGCTTGAGCAGCCTGGCCTGTGGAAGGTGTGCCTGCCCACGGTGGGTGGGCTGGAGCTAGATGAGCTTTAGGAGCCCCTCCGACCCAAACCATTCTATGAGTCACAGGTATTGCAGCAGCTGTAGGGAAACTTGTAGAGGAATCCAGCAACCTTGCTGTAGGATGAGAAGAGCTGTTTTGTTTTGGTTTTTCTTTTTTCCCCATCTGTTTTCCTAGCTTTTATGTAGGTTCCATGAAATGAACATTATCATTTTGGTTTTCTCTGGATTAATTCTAAAGGGTGTAGGCATTGTTTCTTATCTGCCAAATCTGTACTTCATGAGTTCTTCCCCTGGAGAATTTTGAGGGCTCAAACACTTGCTTTTGTTTAGTCTGTTTTTAGAAATGTCCTGAAAACAATTGCAGCTTAACATATAATAAAATATATGGTCTGTTCCAGTGTTAGATTTTTATTTGTTGAAGGTCTCCTAGGTTATACTTTTAGGCACAGGTAATTACTTGAATGAGTAGATGAGTTTGCATAAGGAGCATTAGAGGACAAGCAGTAAAATCTTTTAAAAAATGTGGATGAGGTGGAAATTGCAATCAGAAGAGTGGAAAAGTCCTAAGTGTAGTATTCTGTGAGGGAAGACTGAGACCTGGGCAGAGGCAGTGCCCCTTTTTCCCCTTTGTCTTTGTGACTCAGATTTGGAAGAGTACTGATGGCTCTGTGCTCCCATCTTTTTACTGTCTATAGCACTAATACCCTGACATCTCTGGTATACTGAGGAATTCTCAATACATGGTTTATATTTTTTTGGTTTTTTTTAATCTTAAAGTCAAATGTGAAGTGACAGGAAATAGGTTCTTGATTTGAGTCTACTCAAATATGTAATAAGCATAGAACTGCCAGTTGAGGGCTCAGTGCTATTTAAGCCATTTCCCAGAGTGCCAGTTCTTGCTCAGTGGGCTGGTTGCTGTTTTAAACTTGTTATGACAGATGTAGCTTGGGAAATACACGTCAGTCTAATCCTTTAGCTTCCAGTAGAAATCTTTTCTAGAACAGTGAGGCTAGTGTCTCATGTTTTCAAAATCTATAGAATGATAGTTCTGCATTGTTTATTTCTGGTAGATATTAATAATTTTGACCTCTTTAAAATACTTTGAAGTACAGTCAAGGATTCCTTTAGTGATTCTGCATGCTAATATGGATGATTTAAAATGTCAAAACTGTTTAAACAATAAATGGTATAAAATGTGATGTATTGGACCTAAGATGTATGCTGACTCCCATATAAAAGCCAGGAAGAAAATACTGATACATTTTCATTAACATATGTAAACAGTTTGATTATGCAAATGGTGTTTGTTTTTATTTCCAAGTAAAAATATATATGATTACAGTACTTATCTATAAAATGTACATTTCTATTTGCTTAGGTGAGTTCCTAGCATATTTGTATTTTCTCTGAAAACCAGTTAAAGACTAATTTGTTTTAGGATAATACATTTAATGTC